AATATGTGTTATCGATTGCTTCATATCATTATTAGTCCATATCTATGATCCGTTTGATTAAATACTTTCCGGAGTTCTTATGATAAATGTAAAGCCATTGTCCCGGAGATGGGTTTCTAAAAGTTATGATTCTTTGAATCTTCTCTTTATTCCTATAATTTGAAAGTTTTTTTTTGACACAATTTTGTGATAAAAACATAAAATTTGTTTTTAGTTTTATTTATATTATTATTTTTTGAATAAAACACTGATTTACTGATCAATTAATTTAGACATTGAATGAGAAAATATTTATCCGACAGAGAAGAGAGTGATTAAAGAAAATGTCTAAATAGTGGGCTAACGGCGGGGGTGTGTGTAGTGTAGTGGATGTGGTGTATGTGTTGTGTATGTGGTATACATAGTAAGTGTATCAATGGTTTTGGTCGGTGTCTAATGGCTTGAGTTCACGTATTTGTTTGATGAGATATGCCTTCTCGTCGTTGAACTGTTCGTCATCGGCCCTATCGGTCTGGAATTTGGTGAGGAAGTCGACGAGTTTCTCCTTATTGCGCAAAAGGATGTCGAGTATAGGCTTAGGCTTATTAGGATTGGCCACAAACACCTTAAACACATGGAAGGCCTCGAACTGGATGTTGCGAGACTTGTCTTTCAACATTGTCATCATGAGCTTCAGATTGTCGGGTGAACTGATATAACGGGTCATTACCGTGAAGTTATGTCTGTCCAGAAGCAGTTCGCCCAACAGTTTCAGTGATTGCCGTTTTGTCACATAATTGTTGGAATTGAGCAGATGTTGGTAACACGTGAAGAACCGGTCGTAACCCGACTCTAGAAAGTCGGCCGAAAGACTCTTATGCCGAGTGAGAAGCTCTTTGAATGTGGAGAAGGCGTCGGACGCGATGTCGAAAGTGGACACTTCCACGTAATCGAAGAACTTGTAGTAGTCTTCCGATTGTAGCATTATTTTGGCCAAAGCCTCATATCGGGCGCACTCGCGAAGCATTGACCCGCAGTTGAGTGCGATTTCGTGCTTCTCGTAGCCGTCCATTAGAGTGAACAGAATCTCCGGTTTAGTGCACATGTACTCCACGGTCGGCGATCGGGTCCCGATTTGCCGCCGAAGTATGTTATTGAAGACCTGCGCGACGTCTTTCTTCGCCTCGAACTCAATGCGCGCCAAATTGTTGATCAGAAGAAGCAATAGATTCGAGTTATACAGCTCTTGAGCCAATTGGGCCACCGCTATGTCCGTCTGCGGCTCCGTGTCGTTCGTGCCGTACAGCATGTTCTTCATGAGCACCAGATTCTTCGACACGTCCTCCTGGGCTTTGTCCGCCTTCTTGTCCCCCTTTTCCAGAGCTGTCAGCGCTTCCGACAAACTCTTTATCAGTTCGTACGGACTCTTCGATGATTTGCCGAACAGTGGCATCACTTCTAACGGTTCTCAGTGGCCGACAACTCGTCACCAAAAATACCAATCAATTGATCCGATAATATCCAAATCAATGGTCACAACAAGACAGTCAACCAAATGGGATGTCTTCACGGGATATATGGTGTCAACGACTCAATGAAATGCCATTTCTTTTAGCGATTCAATCGGAAAACAAAGACATTAATTATTAGACATATATTTTGAGTTTCAAATGACATAAAATATGACAACAATTAAGCAAAACATACAATGAATTCAGTGTCGAAACGATTGTAATGATTGACTAAATAGTGAGCAATAATTTGTTGCCTTTTTTATTATGATTTCACATCAAAAACACATTTCATTTGCCAAACAAATAGCGAGTGTTTTGTGTCGTGAAACCAATAAACGCTTACAAATATATTGTGTGTATTATAATAGCGATTGTTTGGTTGATAATGAGGTGACACTACTTCTTATGCAATCATAGATTCAATTATATTAATGATAATAATATTGAATAATACAAGACATCGAGTATTGAACGACACATACGAGTGGTGTTGTGTTCACAACGCGAAAGGTGTGACACTTTATGGCCTGCAATGAACAGCGGATTCAATACATCAATACTTAGCCAAACATTCACTTCACTCAACGCAACACAACATTCACTGCTGTATTATTTGCACACTTTATGCTTATCTAAAAACAACACTTTTTATTATTTATAATTGCATTCAAATATCTAATTAATGCCATAAATCCGATGCATTCAATACACACCGACTCCACTCTCATGTACTGTATGTGTGTATGTGTTATGTAAGCGTACGTAACGTTACCTTTAAAATGCATGCAATAATAAGACCAAATGCACCGTACATTCAATGCTATTGTTTTTATGGCTAACACTCGTTGAAAGTGTATAAGAGGTAGGCTCACCACATGTCCAGCAATGAAAGTCCCGGTCCCATCTCCAGGGCGATGGTAAACCTTGACATTATAATGTCATTATTGAATTATATGAAAATATTGTGCATTTTTAATATAAATATGTTTTAAACTGTATAGAATTGTTTTATTAAAACTAATTGTTTATAACGCTGCAAAATATTTGTGAAATAAATTAAAAATGATGTATAAATAAATTAAAATAGCCTCAACAGCAAGGACAAAATATTCTATTATTACTTAAAAATAAATCTAGAATTTGTCAAGTTTTTGATCATATTTGTCCGGAATTTGTTCAGGAATATTATTGAATTTTTAATAAAATGCAGAATTAAGCAAAACGCATCTGGCCATTCTAATGAGAAATGTGGTGTCTGTGACTGGAAGTGTAGCCCAATCTATACCCCCATCTATCATATCGCCCATCCATTGCGGGGGCGGACACCACACACACTGCCTATTATCGCATTCATATGAATTTCTTTTCATATATACACCCATTTCTCACACATTTATCTCTTATTATTGTTTTGAAATTTCAATTTTATTTATGAATTAATTAATTAGTTTTTGATTCACGACTCGATTCGACGGAAACGCTAATCATAGGTGTAAACGAGTGATACATTTGATATGAGATCACAATTAGTTTGCATAACATATGGAAAGGGGTTCTCAAAGAGTGAGCGTTTGTTAACGTAATTGAGTGACGAATTGGTGCCAAACAAAAAGTTTCACGTCTTTTAAAAACACAAAAACATTGCCTTTTAATTGTTGTCCATAAAAATCATGTTATATTTGATTGGTTTGGGTTTAGGCGACGCCAAAGACATCACTGTTAAGGGTCTGGAAATTGTCCGCAAAGCCAAACACGTGTTTCTCGAGGCCTACACTTCCATACTATCGGTTCCCAAAGAAACTCTTGTAATCAGTGTTTGAATTGTGATCTTTTTGTTATCAATAACTTATGATTTTTATTGATTGCATTACAGGAAGAGTTTTACGGCAGAGAAGTAGTGATCGCTGACAGAGATTTTGTGGAACAGTCTTCCGATGATATACTGACCGATGCTATCGATAACGATGTGGCCTTTCTTGTGGTCGGAGACCCTCTCGGGTGAGACAAACATTTGTCAGATAATGATTTGGATCTCGTTTAATGATAACTCGTGGACACAAACAGAGCGACAACTCATACAGACCTGATCCTAAGGGCGCACCAGAAGGGGGTTCGACACCGACTGATACACAACGCGTCGATTATCAACGCTTGCGGTGCTTC